GTTGAATCATAAATCCCCATGCTGCTTCAAACTCAATCACTTTCAATGTTTCATAAACAGCTTTAATCAGAGCTTTCCTGAGTGCATCATAGTTGTGCAACCCTCCCAATTTTTCTGGTACTTTTTTCATAATTAAGGACAAGCCAAAACAGTGACGACATCTAGGAAAAACTTCTACAATTGCTCTCTGCAAAGCCTTGCACCTATCAGTAATAATAGTTTGGGGAGAACATCCTGACATACATTTAACCCATGACCTAAACAACCATACATAAGATTCTGTTGTTTCACTTGCAAGCAGGCCACATCCTAACAATACTGATTGCCCATGATGATTTATTCCAACAAACGTCACCAGTTGAATTTCAAATTTGTTCGACAAATAAGTGTTGTCAAAATAAAGAACATCGCCAAAATAACCACATGCAGCCCTGGACCTACCATCAACCCAGAATGCATTCCTCAATTGCCCTTCGTCATTGAAATCCATCAAGTAAAAGAAGTTTGGATTAGTCAACTGCATTCGACAGAAAAAATTGTAAATGGCCTGCGAGTCACCTTTTCTAAGATTCAATTTATTAGAAAACTCACAGAAAGTTCTGTCATCTCTCACACTGGAGTTTGAAATTCCATCACCTCCGGCATCAATCACAAGTGCACGATATAACTTAATTGTCTGCCCCTCAACTTCAGAGCTAGGCAAAGACTTCCTCTTCATACCAGTTCCCATCTTCTTAACCAACCTGTGAATCTTAGCACCCAACATGTGGTTATGTTCAAGGGTAGCCTCAAGCACCCGCCATCTCTGAGATTCCACTAATCTCATCCTTATCATCGCAGGACAACCAGTTCTCGTCTCCTTCCTCAAATGATTAACATCCTTTATTCTCTTGAATCCCTGGCTGCTACAGCAAAGCACTGCACCATACTTCTCTCTGCTATTCCGCTTAAACCATGAATTCTTCACCCGTACACGAAACCCCACCTCCTTGGCATAGCAAAGATAGTAATTGTAAGCATCGTCGTATGACTCAAACTCCATTCCAACAGCAGGTGCAACAAACTCCTTTCTCCCCTCAGGAAAACCATTCTGATAATCCAATTCAATCTGCACGCCATCTTCGTCTTTCTGAACCTCAGTACATTTCCCATCAGACAATTGCTCACAGCAGAGAGAGGTCTCTTCCATCTAACATAGGCCTCCTATACCAAGTGATTGCACCTCTTAATCAACCAAAAAAAAAATTAACTACCATCATGCATAGGGTTTTTTTGATTTCAACCTAAGCTCAATATAAATCTAAGGTTGTAAATTATAAACCTAACGTTTTTTTTTACACTTCAACTGTAATATCTAGCTCAATTATTAAACTATGAATTCTGTTTAATTGAATGAAAATGAAAGGTTTCAAGTCTACGAAACCCTTGAAATAAGCATTGACAGAACATGAAACAAAGAGAATATAAAAGAATTGAACGAAAATTGAAGGCATGTAGAACAGAAGAAGATTGGGTGAAAATTGAGCAGAGAGTTACCAACCGCGACGCTAATCTCAGTCCGATAGATACAAGTAGAAGCACAGCATGCTTATGCTTCTTCTTCGTTCTCTTCAAACGCGCTTTCTCGATCTGTAAGATACAAATCTCGGGTTTTGTTCGAAAAATACAGGTTCCAATTTTTTCTGCACATTCTCGCATAATGTTTTAATTTAATTTTTTATTGCATTTTGGATTTTCAATTCTCTTATTTTCCTCATATTCACGTTTTTCCATTAAGAAAAATTATGATAATATTAAAGAGTGATTTTAAATTTAATTCAATATTAAAAGATTGTATATCATTTTTTTATATACTTAAATCTTTGGTTATATCTAATTAATATAAGATTTTTAATAATCTTTAACTTTAATAAAATTTTGTTTTTTAAAATAAAAATAATTATTTTGAATTTATCTTTTTCATATATTTTTAATAAAAGTCTGATATTTTATTTTAGAATTGAGAATGAAAAATAAAATCCAAAACAAATCAACGGTTTAGTATAATTTAATATTTCATCATAAGTGTTTTGTAGTGTAACAGAATATTATGGTGTTAATTATGATAATATTATTAAAATTAAATTTTATATTTGAGGTATTATTTATTTTAAAATTTTAGTTAATCTTAAAAGACATATTATTAGATTAAGACAGAGAGATATATAAATTATCTTCCTCTCTTAACCTATTAATATGTCTTTTAAGTAAAAAACGATGACGGATTGAGACTTTAATGTTTCTTTATTTCTATTAAATGTGTTTGTTTGTTTTTTACTTATTTGAGTAGATTTAGGTTGACGAAGAGGTGTGTCCCACACTCTCATGTATAAACATTTATAAAAGGGAATTATTATTAAAAGTTGTTTAGGAATAAAAATAAATATTTTATTGTGAATCTTACGTATGAGTTGTTTAAAAATGGAAAAATTTATTTAAAATTAGAAGAAAATTATTTATATAAACAACTTTAATCAAATTTTAAACAACTCAATTTTTGGACCCATAATAAAATATTCAATTTTATTTTTAAGCAACTTTTGTTAAAAATCCTTTTTTATAGTTGAATAACAAATGTTTGAATAGTAAGAAAGTGGGGGTTGAGTAACAAATGTCTGAATAATGAGGAAGTGAGTGGTTGAGTAACAAATATTTGAATAATCCTTATTAATTTTTCTCATTTGCATGAATATTCATTCTACCTTATAAAGGTAATTTGATTATTACACAAAAAAATACTATTATTTAATTATTCTATATTCAATCTTATCAATCACATCAATTACACTCAAATATCTTCAAATTCATTATCTTTGCTTTAATCTAAACAACTCTACAAATAAACTCAAATCACCTAAAATTCTCTCCCTCAAATCTCCACCCTTATTTAAACACAAATTAAAATAAACAATACTACATATATGAGAATTGACCTAAGTATACTACCACAACGAATATGAAATGGAGATATTCTTATACCTATATGGAACCATAACAAATTTTAATATAATAATTATATTAACATAATTGTTATTATCAATGAAAATATAGGTGTTAAGACTTCTATCCATTTTATATTAATTAATTTAATTTTTTATTCTTTATATATATATATATATATATATTCTTATTTATTTATTATACTTTATTACAAATTTTTTAAATATATAAATCATAATAATTATTTTTTATGTAATTTTTTTATATAAATCATAATATATTATGCGTATATATATATATATATATATATATATATATATATATATTCAATTTCACGATGAATATTAATTAATTTAATTTTTTATTCTTTATATATATATATATATATATATTCTTATTTATTTATTATACTTTATTACAATTTTTTAAATATTTTAAATATATAAATCATAATAATTAATTTGTATGTAATTTTTTTATATAAATCATAATATATTACGTATATATATATATATATATATATATATATATATATTCAATAACACGACGAATAATTATAAATAGAGAAATTCTCTAAGATAAATTATATTTCCTTAAATTAACCATTTTTTTTTGTTGAGGGGTAAAATAGTCCCTTGTTAATGAATATGATGAAACAAAATTAATCTTATAACATTTGTACAAAAATAATCTTAAAGGGAAGCCTTTACAATATATAATATTTTGGAAGTTAAAAATATTTTTGAATTATTTGGGTTTTACTTGTTAACTATTCATTCAAATTTAAACAAATTCAAAATTTAGAAGTAGTTTTTTAAATATTAAATCGAATGTTCATAAGGTTGATACTATCAAAATACGAATATTCGTTTCCTAAAATGTTAAACAAATTTGATTTAGTTTATTTTATAATTTTTAAAAATATAATTTTAAAAACTAAAAATATAATAAATGTTTGTAGTACAAAATAGTAAGACATCAACAACATAAAATAAAAGTCCAAAAACATAAACTAAATTACAATATATGGTAATAAAAAGTTGATTCTTCAGAGAGCTTGTATGTAGAAAACATAACTTAAAAAGGAAATTATAAAACATATATTAAAACTTTATTATGTAGTATCCCTGTTCATTGGATTTTACTCTGTTTAGATAATCTCATACCATAAAGATAATAATGGACAGTTACCTCATCCAAGTTAAAAAAAAAATACAATAATAATATTCCTCCAAAATAGAGACGGAATAAATTTGCTAATCATAAGTTGGGATAATTTTCCATGATTAAGTTCGTTTAAAAATAATATATTCTCTTACACTTTTAACTGATTTTATTTATATTGCTTATTCCTTTCCCGTCAATTCATTTGCCATGAGTAAATTATTTCTTTTTCTACTTTATTCTATGTTCTATCCTTTTCATCCTTCCACCATTACACTTAAACCAAAAAATGTATATATAATCCATAAATGAGGAATTAATATATGAAAAGTATTTTCCACCAGTACAAGCTTGCATGTTTCGCAAATGAAGTAGTCTGGTTTTATATAACAATATCCAACCAATATCAATTGAATAAAATCTCATTCCACCAAACAACAAGAAGAAAGGAGTATTTAGCATGAACAAGAAGTCTTTGTCTGCCCATGCAAACGAAAGCACATATAGGTCAAAAGAAGTCACAGAGCATTAGTGGATGACAAGAGTAAAATAAGTGAAGAACCCCCCTTTTTTTTGTCTGATCACACAAAACATTACAAATTCAACTAGTATTGGATAAAATAACTAAAATACCACTCAAACGCAACGGTTGTATAAATCACAAATCATAATAAAATACACTGGAACAAGCAAAGGTTGTCAAAAGGTGCAGTAGAATTTATTCCACAACTTGGGAAAATTGAGAGTTCAGGACCATAACTACCCAAGTTGACCATCCCACAAACTAGGATATTTCCATGAGTAACTAAGGCTTAAAGGGGTGCTCCCACCAGAAAGCGTACTATTTATATAATCATTTAGTTTGCCCGGCTTTTGAACACATCAAGACCCATCTCAGTAGGATCAGTTGCTTGCAACTCTACTTGAATACCATCCAGCTCCCTCTTGAATCTGTCTTTGGAGCTTGCATAAATCATCTTGCTCCTGACCCTAGATGTATCAGGAGACCTAACCACATAAAAGCAACAAAATCAATGCAGATAGAACAACAGCGCGGATAACTATCTGTATAGTAAAAAAGCAAACATTACCACGCAATGAAAAAAATTCTGCTTTTGGGGACATTCCCTTCAGTCGTATACTCAAAATCATAAACAGCATAGCGGCACTCGTCAGCAGGAAGGCTACGAGTAAAATCTTCATAGCCTTGGGCTGGCTCACCAAGCTTCTCCACAATGACTTGCTTCAGTTGCTCCTCAATCTTAAAAACAATGAAACGGTGTGTCCTCTTTGCCTTGAGCTCCAAAAACCTTAACTTGCAGTCGTCATGGACTGCCATACCTGATGCTGCGTTTGCCTATTGAATTGCAGTTGCAGACACGCACCATGGCCATCAACCCCAAGAAATTGTACAAAGTTATGTTGTTAATATTTTTTTTTTCCAATTTAACTTGTTACTCCAAAAAAGAATGAAACAAAGGAGTGCTAACATAATAAAGTTGCAAGCTATCCAAAATAAAAATGGTTACAACATAGAGAGTCCATTCAGAGATTGAGAACAATAAAATGCAATAGAATTATGTCGCCACCTAACAAAGTAAACAACAATTCTACAAATACAGTATCGTCCAAATCAAGGAGCTAGAAACAAAAAACGTTTAGTGCCAAAGGAGTAAACATCTGTAAAAAGCTGTGTTATGTTTGTCGTGTCTGCTTCAAACACAAAAATAAATCATATCCATCCATTAATAAATCTAATAAAAGAACTGAGACCAAAAAACCATGTCTAATTAAAGCGTAAGAATATATACAAAAGAATAAGAACATATGTTAAAAAAAGAATATATGCGTTAATTGAAAATTCCTTGCACAATTACCACATAGAAGAAGTTAAAACCACAAGCTCACCCCAAAATATTAAAATAAATAAAATTGAACCCACGAGTAAGATCCCAAACCGATTTTTCCGCAGATCAAACACATCACACATCATACGCAGTTGTAAATTGCAATCCGCATTAAAATTATGACAATAGGCTATCAATTTGGGAAAAACTCGATCGAAACACCGAAATCAGATCTGAACACGACACGATTTATATTTCCGAAAAAACACACAAAAAGGCACCGTTCAAGTTCAATGATCAGATCAAATTGGAATCCAGCTCAGAAAATTCAACGCAACAATATTAAAAAAAAATGAAAAATAATTGAAATTGTCGGATTTAGTTGTTCATGCGTGAGAAGAAACCGGAAAACGAACAGAAAAAGGATAAAGAGAAAAATAGAAAAAACTGACCATGTGATGCGGACGGTGTTGGGGCAGTTGGAGTGAGCGACGGTGGAGGAGAGGATATAGGAGCGCGTGAGAGAGAGGGAGAGCGTGTGTGGGTGATTCTCTCACTGATCGAGGGTTCGGAGAGGAAAGGGGATGAGAATTGTGGTGTGGTGGAGCGTCACAAAATTATTAATATCCGTTGTGTATGCCTTTTCTTTTCGTTGGCCCAATGGGCCTCCTTGGGTGTTGCGGGCCCAATTCTTTGGTCGTGGTCCATCAGATGCACATTGCGTTATTCAAATTTGTGTTGTCTGTAAATTTCACTGTCTTCCCGACCAAATGTGTCGTCTCCTGACCTCCTTCCACCTCCCAAATTCTACCGAACATAATAATCTCAGGGTCCCTAACTACTTTTTGTACTATATACCCATTCTTATTGATACGTGAAAATTTATCAAATTTAACAAATCTCTAATACAAATTCACTTTTTAACTGAATCATATTGATATATAAAAATTTATCCATCCAGCTTTTTTTTCTTTAAATATTAATATTGGTTTGTGGGATTCATTTTTGTCAAAATTAAGATTCTTTTAAATAATTTTTTTCGTATACTATTCTTAGGGTTGGATTTCTACCGATATAACAAGATTATTTATAACTATACTACAACATAGATTTTTATGTGGATATCCATGAAGACTTTACCAGTTGATAATTGAATTACAGTATAAAAAAAAACAAATTCAATTAAATTTTTATCATTTTATTTAACAAGCAAGCAGTCAAATATTTATATCGCGTGATAGTTTGACTATTCTTGTTTTTTAATCTATCAAAATTGTATAAATAGAATCTACACAAGTTATACTTTTAATGGTATATCTGACAATATACACAATACTTCACTAGAAAAATAAAGTTTTACATGTTTTCAATTGGGTCGAATATTTACCTCAATTACCCACACACTTGGAAAGAGGGACACGTTAATCATAATACAAGTTAATGCGCACGAAAACAAAAGCCTCAAATTTGGTTTTATTTTTTAATAACATTTGTTTACGTTGCATATGTTGCAATCATGACTCTGAAATTATGATAACGGATTCATTGCATCTGAACTCACTCAGTTGTATTTGTTTTGATAAATATCTGGAAATTATTGTGGCGCCAATGTTACTATATGATGCTTTATAATATTTCTTGTCAGTTTCAGATCTTAAATACGGGTGATGTGTAGAAGACAATAAAAAGGTAGAGACAACTCGTCAACAATTATGAGCTTGTTCATGCTAGAGGGTATGTGGCGGAAACTAAAATAACTACAGAAAGAGATTTTTTAATTCATTATAACATATCAATCAATAATCCTTACCTAAACAAAATGTATAAATGCTTTTCGAACTCTCAAGATTGCAAATACTTTTACTTTTGTCATATTTAAGCATTAAGAGAATGCTGAATTGTGAGGGTATAGGATCACAATGTATATAAATAAACACTGACAACATGAGAATATTGCTTAGAAATGCATCATAGTTCATCATGTATTCTTTGTTCTAAAGGAGCCTCTATATTATGAACATGATCGTCTCTGACGTGATAAAATTCAAGTCATCTGCAACAGCTTGTGGTCTTAGCCCTGCCTGTCCCACCATACCAGCTTTTATGGCCTCAGCAGTAACCTTTCTCTGCAACGCAAGTAGTCAAATCCGCTTGGAAACAACATAAAGAACAGCAAGGGTGAACAACAAAAAGCCAACCCCAAATATTACCCTATTTAAATAGTTAATTGTTAATAATAACACTGAGGAACAACAAACTTGGTGATAATAAAATAAACTTTTTTTTCCATACCTGTCCATGACATCTTGACGTTGCATAACGGAGAGGAGATTTCGTGTTCTCCACAACAAAGAGCGGTGACCTTTATATTCACTTTCAGTCTTTTTTAAGACACCAGTTGATTCATCTACATATCAAAACAATTTTGCAAAACAAATATCCAGAACAACATCATTATTTCACACTCCCATAATCATATTAATAGAAACAATTTCAGTATCTCAGTTCCTAAAGACCAATATAGTTGAATTAAAGGTTTTAACAAAAATCCAGCACAAATAGTGAACAAAGAAACATCTTTACGTAAAATCAGATTCCAAAAAGAGAAAACTGTCATGCAGATTATAATCTACTAAACATAAGGAGCTATGGGTAATTCAAATTTTCAAACCTGTAAACTATGTCATTGATATTTGGTAAAATAAAAAACAGAAGGACTCTTGTCAATTAGTCGACAAAACTGATTGAAAAATTTGGCTCCAAATATAAAAAAAATTGAACCTCATAGGTTAGCCTAACACTCTCTTATTCTCTACCATGTAGATAATAATGAGCCATAGGAACTGTTTACAGGTTAATATACAAATACGTAAAGTTACTTATGTCATTGTTATCGGAATCCTATAAAATATCCTCAAACAATAATAAAAAACAATATAAGCCAAATCATACATAAAGCTTATTTTTGGATCTAGTGGGATGGTTAAAGGAAGGTGACACTAGTGGAAAAATAACTTTCTATGGCGGGTTTTTATCACGGTCGTAATCCACCCGTCATAGTATGTGGCGCGGTGGCAATTTTGTAATAAAATCATAAACTTTCTATGTCGGGTAAGTTTTAACCGACATAGTAAGTGGAAAGTTCACTTTCTACGTCGGGTAAAATTTAACCGACGTAGAAAGTTAACTTTCTACGTCGGTTAAAATTTACCCGACATAGGGTAACATTTAACCGACGTAGAAAGTTAACTTTCTATGTCGGTTAAATTTTACCCGACGTAGAATGTCGGGTAAATTTTAACCGACGTAGAAAGTATCTTTGATGACGGGTGTTAGGGCAGCCGACATAGTATCTTCTGCTCCTCCCGCGCTCCATTTCATTTCATCACTTCCCCCCCATAGCAGAGCTCCCCTGAACGTTTCTCCCTACGCTCCATTTCCTTTCATCGGTTCACCCATACCAGAGCTCCCCGTTCGCTTGTATACGTTTCTCCGCACCCACATTTGCTCGTCACGCCACACTGCCAACGCTTCGTGCCGCCTGCTGCTACTCGTGTGCCGTCGCACGGGATACGTTTCTCCCCACCCGGCTCCGCACGTCACGCCACCTGCCACCTCTGTAGGTCTTCAAGAGGTAAGATTTCGTGCTTTTAGCTACCTCGTAGCCAATGTAGGTTTACAGTATTGAATCTAGTAAGTAATAATGTCTGTCAAGAGAGGGAAACATCACGGGTGCCTTTAGCTAATTTAGAGATGTATTGTAAGTAGTTTAGACAAAAGATGGTGTCAATGCTCGTTTGGACATGTTCAAAGAACTAATAACTATTATTTTTTCTTTGAACACGGATATGGCAGATTCATCCGGTACCCCTCCTCCTACACAGTCCCCCCTCCTACACAAGGTGGTGATCGAGTCAGCCGTCTACTAGGAAAAAGGGTAGGCATGCTACACGGTTGAGGGAGTTGAATATCGATCGCGACTCCGATCAGAAATTGCCTATCCAGTTTGACATGCAAGCTGGTAGAGCCATTGGAGAGCACAGGTGCTAGATTCACTAGCTATGTGACCTTGCTTGGGAGAAGCAAGGTTAGTATTCTTATTGAGGATTGGGACCATGTTCCGAGACACTGAAGAACCAGATTTGGCGAGTATCCTGGTACCTACTCTTACTTGAGCATTTAACATGTATATATATTTAACTTTTTTGGGAACTTCATGTTATTTTTATTGTGTAGGTCACATATGATGTCCCTAACACCACTTTGTTGAGGACAAAGTGGATCTCATATGCTTGAGGAACGCTTGGAGAGGTTTTAAGAGTGATCCGACCGGTCGATACATATATGGGGCATTGAGCAACAAGAACCCATGTGACCGATATCGGTTTTTGGATGAGGAGACATGGCAGGCATTTCGGACTCGGCGATTAGACCCTAGGTTTCGAGGTTAGCACATTTGTCATTTGTTTGCAGTAATTTTTTTTAAATAGAGGTTTTAAATTTGGTATTTAACATGGAATGCAACGAGGCCAAGAGGCAGAAGGCACAAGATATTCGGAGGAAGAATATCCACTCCCTCGGGTTGTCTCGTGGGGGTTATGAGAAATTGGAGGAGAAGATGATGAAGGAGACTTCTTCAAGTCTACCTTCGGATGACTCCGTTGTGAGTTCCGTCACCCGCCCTTCACGCCATGATAAATGGAAGAGAGCTCGCCAGAACTCATCAGGGAATTACTTATCCGAGCAAACTAATGTTGTTGCTCAACGTATTGTAAGTAGCATATCCTAAACTAATTATATATGTTATACTACAATAGGCATTTGTATTTGCTAAAAAATCATTCGTTTGTGTTGTAGGATGAGTTGATTGAGCAGAGCACTCGGGGATCATTCCACCCACATGGCCGTCGGGATATATTGGCGGTGGCCATTGGTACCCAGAGCATCCTGGACGTGTTCGTGGTGCTTGGACGAGGGTGGGCATCGAGCAGGTACTTTGGTGCCCCACCCGTGGCAACTCCTTCTTTGAGGCAGCTTGAATGAGCAAGAGTTTGAGTCCCTCAAACAACAAATTAGGAAGGAGATTCGAGATGAGGTGTACTCGACTTGAAGGCGAGTTATTGAGCTCAATGCGAGCGAGTTGGCATCTTTGTCATCTCAACCTTCCGTCCCGCACGAGCGGCATCCCCGATTCATGTCGAGCACAAAGGAGAGTTGTGATGCTCCCGATAGAGGGCAGAGGTTGCTCCTACGACACTGCTGACTGTCGGTTGTATGTTGCGGGTCCTCCCGAGCATTTGGTGGCATACGGTACGTATTATATCTTTGACATGTATTTGGTACAGGTGTTACACATTATATAGTCTAAGATATTTTATCCTTTGTTTACCTTAGGGAAAATGTATGCATTGGGGTCAACCATCCACCACCGAGTATTGGAGATGATATGATCGAGTGGTGGTTGTAGATGTCCGGGATGCTGCTTGCCCTAATCCCTATTCCCACTGAAGAGGTTCAAACGAGTGGGACAGACACCTGGCCATTTTATCTTATGACCAGTTTCATTAACAAGACCCATCCCAACACATGCACGAGGTTGATTTATGCATTGAACGATAGTACTTATTATTTTTTGATAGGTTGATGTATATTAATGTTATTGATTTTTGGTACTTGTATAGGAAGAGGATGAAAAAGCAAAGGAAGTTGTGCATGAATCACCACCACCACCATCCGCTTACAGCGACTCGGAGCATCGGCAGTGACTATCGGGACCACTCCCATACGGTTAGATATGTCACCCGAAGTCGTATGCGGGACCAAGACGATCCCTTTTTCTTACTCCAAAGGGATATTTTTTATCTTCTCGCTTGATACTTGATATGTTATGTGTATCGGTGTTGCGGCTTTGGGAATTGTAAGTATATTTACATATTTTTTATATTCTCACTGGTACATTATTTTATAACTTTATTTATTTTCAATGTTGAAGGTATTTACATCGTTTGTGTGTTGAGAGGAAGATCCGTTATCTCTATGGATTTGTTGACCACTGTTGCCATTCGATCAGTTGGGAATAAAGGCTGAAGAGGTGCAAACGTACTTAATAGAGGCATTTCAAAATGGGGACAAAGAAGTCTACTTAGCACCTTACTTGCATCGATAAGTATACATCTTGTAAATTAATGCACATTTATGTAAAACTGAAATTTTACTAATATTATTGCAACGTGCGGGGGTCATTGGCGGCTCATAATAATTGTTCCTCGCCAATTTCTTGTGATTCTCTTGTGTTCATTACACAAGAAACCAAATGATTTGGATATTAGAAAGCACATAGACGCGTAAGTTTGGTTGTTTTTAATTGTTGTATCATATGTGCACTACTTACACCAAAATTATTTGTCCTTTTGTAGAGCTTTGGAAGCTCACCTAAGGTTGCAAGGTCTTCCATCTCATGCTAGAAAGAAGTTGACGTATATTGCACCAAAGGTGACCAAACACCTCTTACTTGTTGTTCAATTTGTCATTTAAAGTTAATCGACATGTATTTAACTTGTAGTGTCCACGCCAACCGGGAAGCCATGAGTGCGGGTTTTATGTGATGAAGCACATGCACACCATTGTAGTCAAAAATATTCTTGACACGTGGAGGGAGGTAAATATACTATAATTAAGTCAAATATGCCAATTATGTAAATGATTTCTAAATTTGAAATGTTTCAATATGTAGGAATTTACGAGACTCATCTCCAATGAAGATTGAAGTCTTAGACGATATCGAGAGCAGATGGGCTTCTTTCCTTTTAAGCATTCAATCTTCATAGGAAATTTAACTTGTAACAATTTAGATAGAATTGATTTAAGTTAGGAAATTTACATTCGTTTAAGTAAATGAAGCTGTCAGGAACTGGATCTGTACTGTACATATATTCATTTCAATGTGTTTCATATGTACATATCGTCTGCACTGAATCGTACATGCATCTTGGATATATATACGTAGCAAATTTATATATGAGCTGTGCATATCATGCATGTACTAGATCTGTGGTTATTTGTGCGGAAGCTGTGATGAATAGGCGAGTCCACTCGAAGAAAGGTAGCATCTGTAAATAAAATGCAGGTATTTTAAAAAAATATAACACTTTCTACGTCGGTTATGTCATTACCCGACGTAGTAAGTACTTTCTACGTCGGTTAATGGCATAACCGACGTAGAAAGTGTAACATTTTATGTCGGTTATAGGCATAACCGACATTAATAACACATACAATCACGATTCTTGTTAACCGATATACATACTGGGGTTATAGAAAGTTAGAAAGTAAGACTTTCTATGTCGGTTATAAGTGTTAACCGACATAGAAAGTATTATGACAGTCGAGATTCAGTTATGATCGATCAGATTAACTTCATGACCGATCAGAACCGGTTATGACCGATCAGGATAGCTCATACAACATAAGACTTTCTACGTCGGTTCCCGGACTAACAGACGTAGAACGTCTTTCTATGACCGATCAGAACCAGTTATGATCGATCAGAATAGCTCTATGACCGATCATAACCAGTTTGACCGATCATAATAGCTCAAAGAAAGTAAGGCTTTCTACGTCGGTTCCTATTAACCGAGCGTAGAAAGTCTTACTTTCTACGTCGGTTATTAGGATCCGACGTAGAAAGCCTTACTTTCTATGACCCCCGTATCTATGTCGCCGCTTTAACCGACGTAGAAAGCCCATTTTAACCGATGTAAAAAGCCTTTTCTGCAGTAGTGTGAAGGACAGCAATAGTTTTTTAAAAAAATTTGTGGACTTTTATAAGGATTAATAAATATCCCTCATATTCCATTCAAGCCTCCATTTTGAGCTGGTCAAGATTTGGGATACAACTTAAATTTTCGACCTCTCTTTTCTTTTCCCTGATTTTTTAAATCCAAAGAGGAAAATGAATGTTGTTTCTTATTATCCCTTCACTCTAATTCCTTACTTTCCACTTACTATACCTTTTTCTTTCCTCATTTCATTCCCAAGTGACCCCTTAGAAGTGTCTTACCTGGTAAAATTAAAAAGAAAACTATTATCCTCATAAAAATCACATGCCTAGAAATACAGACCATTTAACTTCAACATATTTAAATCCAAACTACTTAAGGCTATTTGAGTACACTTTCTACATATAAATGCTCAAATCTGTCAATTCCCGATACAACAAACCTTCAAGCAAACTTTTTAAACATTAACCCGTTCAACCTAATAGATGTCCAAAAAATTTAACAGGCTGCCAAGATTTTTCAACTTTATATTCAATATTCAGCTTCGAGGCAGTAGGGATTATATTCTCAGATTTTATGCTTGTTCATTTAACTTTGTAATCTTTTGGAGGGGCAAGGTAGGGGAATGGGGGGCAAAAAAGGAGAAACCAAGGAAAGGAAAAACTAATGCTGAAGGAAAGAACATTAGACACATAAAAATTGAGTAGCATGACACCAAGGCTTAGAAAGGTAAAAATATAAAAATAAAATTGGCCTAACACCATACAGAGGTCAAGCTGAAAAGAAGGAAATGAGAGAAACTTGAAAAGTTTCTGATGAAACTCAGGAGCCCAACTCAGTGACTACTGTCAAGGGAAAAATGATGCAGCATTTAAGTCATACCCCAGACATATCAAAGGTAAACTCCAGAAAAAGAGGGAAGAGGGCCACACCAAGATTAAATTGAGTGAGGCCCATAAGTAGTTCAAGACGGGAGGGTGGTGTCAAAGAGGGTAGATATTTAATTTTGAGAAGAGGAGGGGAGTGGATGGATTCATCCTTGGGCTATGGCGAAAGTTAGCATCCATCCCTCCGTCCTTGAGATCTCCCTATTCTTTTATTTTCTTCTTTGATATTCTGCATGATTTCATTTTCTACTGATACACGTTGCTTTCCCAATTTAAGGTCAATATACTCTCCTTTCATATCACCACCACTTTTCGGTCTATATCAATTTCACCAAAGTGCACTGTTCACATTATGTTAATTTAAGTAATCTAAGCATAATCCTGGTTTCTATCAAAATCTTTCCGTTTGTTAACATATATTTTATTTACACTGCATTACATTCAATTATTGGAAAAAAGAGAATGTGAAAAATTCATATGATAATGAATATCATCAATTTTGTTAGAGAAATGACATCTAGAGGGGATGAATAGATGCACATATTTTAATAGATATTAAATTAAAAATTTATTTGTAAGTCAATAATTTGTTTGAACACATATGAAGCGGAAACGATAATATAATCAGAAAAAGAGGAAGAGATAAGGGAAAGAGAAGAGCACACAGTGATTTATACTGGTTCGGGTATAGTCAATCCTACATTCAGTTTTAAGTCAACTCTTAACACAAGAGTGACTCCCAATTCACTATCTTTCAAATTCAGTTTACAATCACCTCCTTAGAAACTCACTAAAAATGGACACCTCCCTAGAATCTCACTAGGGATGAACACCTTCTCTGAACAAATCAAAGAATGAAAAACACCTCCTTAGAATCATACTAAGGATGAACATCTTCCTACAATCACACTAGGGATGAACACCTTCTTGAACAAATCATAAGTATGAAAACACCTCCTAAATCCATTAAGGATGAAGGAGTAAGATAAAAATAATCACACCTCGATAATGGAGACAACATATTGTAGAAGCCTGTAGAATGTCAATCTCCAAGAACAAGTGTGATTAACAATGAAAGCACAAAAGACAGTAGAGAAGAGAGTTTTATCAGAAGGTATAAAATATCTCTGTTGTCCTGCTCAGAATTCTTTTCTCAAAACTGATCGAATGTAAATTATATTTTCGAATTCTGTAATTGTGTATTTTTTATTTTCATCAAAACTTAATTAAATAAAAAAATAACATAAAAAAATAGTTGTAGGTTATTAATAATATCATAGAGAAAATCAGGATGTATTAAAAAATATTTATTCTTTAAAACGGATATATTTTTCAAATTTGAATTGTCATAATTGATTATGTTACCTGTATAATCAATTAAGACATAGAAAATTATTTTTCCATTTCTGATGCATCATAATTGATTATGACAGTGAAAAATATTATGTTATGAATTTTATCATACTTGTACTTTGGAGGCTTAGGCATAATATTACTTCATCAACTTGTACCTTCATAGCCAGTATTCTTAAGATTCTAACTAGTCTTCAGGAATCATCTTGAGCTTGCTTGAATCATCATCTTTATAAAAAACATATCTTGGGCATGTAGGGAAATGTTTCACATTGTCACCAATGTCTTAAATTCAGTTTGTCCTTAATTCATCTTGAATGGTGTTGACTTGAATCATCATCAAAATCATCTCTTGGGAATGTAGGAACATTTCCATTAATCTCCCCCTCATTGTTTTCAATCTCTCCCTTTTTGATGATGATCAAGAAAACACCTGAAATGAATTAAAATACTTGACTCTATATAGCCAGCTCAAGATTAACACAATATAGTATAACACAGATTAACATCGATTTGTATCAAGTGTCAGAGTCTCTTAATCTCCCCCTGAATATATTAATAACAAGACTCCCCTAACTCATATGAACAAAGACTTCTCTTAACTCCCCTTATTTAATTTAGAGATAGGAATGAATTTCACACAAATTTTAATTCATAAAAAAATCTCCCCCTGTTTCATTGATAATCATAAAAAATATTATAAGAGAAAAAAAATATCCCCCTATTTCACATAGATTAATATCATCAAAATATCTCTTTATTTCATTGATAATTATGAAAAATATTGCAATAGAAATTGAGAACAAATTTGCACATATTAGTACATAAATCAAAGTAGAGAAGATAATGCATTACAAAATGTCATAGAGAAGAACATCATATTAAGGAGGCAATATCTAGGATACCCAAGACAAATGAAGAGAGAGAAAGATAGGAGAATAAAATGATTGTAGAGATAATGAAATGCAGTAGTTTCCTCCAATTGAAGTCTTCTTATTTAGACAACTTTCAAATTCAAATTCACTCATATTCTTGATTTCAATTTTCAAATTCAAATTGCAACAAATTTCAAATTCAAATTTCTAATTCCAAATTTCAAATTTCAATTCAAATTCAATTTCAAAAATCTCAAACTGCAAAATTTCAAATTTCAAGAATCTTAAACTGCAAAATTTCAAACTTTAATAATTTCAAATTTTCATAAATTCAAATTCTCAAAATTCAAACTTTCAAATTTCAAACTTGGTCAACAATCAAATTTATGTGCCAAATAAATGCAGATATTCAATATAGAGGCTTGAGAGACAATAATAAATTTATCTTTGTATTATTTCCTTATTCATCTAGTTTGTTCTTGTACATACACCCATTTAGCTTCAATAAACTGCATTAATTTCTTATACTTGATAATTACCTACAACATCAACATACAAATCTAGGTACCCTTTAATTATTTTTGGGTCCTTAAAAAGGTTAGTAGAATCGAATGTCTCTACCAAAAGACTAAGGATTAAAAGAATATAACCATGATATAATAATCGATTATCACAACACCTTCAGAATCAACATAATTGATTATGATAATAAGAAAAAAAATTTTGATTCTGATAATCAATTAGATGCTCAAACTATCATCTAGACATGTATAAATGTTTTATTCCTTTAGACACTCATTCATATTTGCCATTAGATATGCCAAAATGTTTTATGTAACATCTATTTGATGTATGACCTAATTTCATGCAATAAAAACATGTTGATTTTCTTTGAAAATGTCTAAATGAATTTCTTAAAGTTTTTGAAACTTGTTTCACATTTGTTTACCTTGACTCTTTCACAAAAATAATTTTATGAGGTTCTAGACTTTCTTTGGGTTTGTAACAAAGTTTAGCTTTGCTAGAATTCCCTCTTTGATAACCTAATATAGAATCAAGATTTTCAGAAGATTTTGAAAACTTACTTATTATTTTCTCTAACTTGAGAATTTCATTTTCCAAATGATTACAATTTTCACAAGGTTTAGCAACTTCTTTATTTTTAGACAAAGTTTTAAATTTCTCATCTTTCTTTAAGCATTCATTTTCTTTTTTAAGAATACCAACAATATTTTCTAATGCATTCAACTTTTGCCTAAATGCATTGTATTTCTTAGATAACTTGGTAAAACCTTTATACATATCTTGATATTCTTTAAACAACTCATCATATTCATTTAAGGATTTTGTACTGCTTACCTGTGATGAGGCTTCATCATCACTTTTTATCATCAAGCAAAAATTTGCTTCTTTGTCTCCATCACTGCTTTCGGAAGAACTCTCTTGTGTTTTGGAAGAATCATTATCCTCCCAAGCAATATAAACTTTGTGTTTGTTCTTATAGATACCGTTCTTCCCTTTCTTCACATCTTTCTTAAGTTCCGGACAGTCTGATTTAATATAACCAGGTTTTCCACATTCATAACAATGATATTTATTTGTTTTCTCCTTTCTTTGTTGTCTCTTTTTCCTGTTCTTCTTAAAGTGAGAAAATTGTTTAACAAAAAAAGACATATCGAAATTCGAAAATTTACCTTCATTTTCGCTTTCATCTTGTGAAGACTTTTCTACTTTTAAAGTCATCGTCTTGACTTGATTCTATTCACCATTCTTTAACCTTTGTAGCTCCATCTCATGTTGCCACAACTTTCCAAATAGAGTAACAATATTCATTTTTGTGAGATCTTTTGATTCTGTAATAGCAGTGACCTTTAGTTGTCAATTCTTGTCTAAGGATTTCAAGATCTTTGTGTTCAACTCCTCATTGTCAAAACTCTTTCCTAATGCTTTCAAATGATTTACTATATGTGTGAAACGTGTTTGAAAATCCATGATGCTTTCATTTTGCTGCATTTGAAATAATTCATACTCTTGGATAAGTGTGTTCTTATGTGCTCGCTTTACTTCATTTGTTCCTTCATGTGTTACTTCAAGAGTGTCCCATATGTTTTTTACGTCTTGCATTGTGAGACCCTGAAAAATTCATTACGAGTTAAGACAGAAACAATAACATTTCGGGTTCTTACATCATATTGGGCACGCTTGTTTTCATCCGGCGTCCATTGGTCAATAGTCTTTGGAACAACTTCAGACTCTGTTTTTCTCATCGGAATGTAAGGACCGTTGAGTACAGCATCCCAAACACCGTAATCTAGTGTTTGTAAAAATATTTTCATTCTCGCCTTCCAAAACTGATAGTCTTCTCCTTCAAATAATGGTGGTCTGTTTATTGAGGCTCATTCCCTGTAAACTTGATTCTGCATAGACATCTTGACAGATCGTTTAGAAATATCTTATCTAACCAAGCTTTGATACCACTTGTTAGACAAATGACATCTAGAGGGGGTGAATAAATGCACAAATTTTAATAGATGTCAAATTAAAAATTTATTTGTGAATCAAAAATTTGTTTGAACACAGATAAAGCGGAAGCGATATTATAATCAGAAAAAGAGAAAGAGATAAGAGAAAGAAAAGAGCACACAGTTATTTATACTGGTTCGGGTATAGTCAACCCTATATCCAATTTCCAGTTAACTCTTAATACAAGAGTGACTCCCAATTCACTATCTTTCAAATTCAGTCTATAAATTACAATCAACTCAGCAGAAGAACCAATAAAAAGTAAACTAATTAAAAAGACAATCACCTCCTTAGAAACTCACTAAAGATGAACACCTCCCTAGAATCCCACTAGGGATGAACACCTCCTCTGAACAAATCAAAGGATGAAAAACACCTCCTTAGAATCACATTAAGAATGAACACCTCCCTAGAATCACACTAGGGATGAACACCTCCATGAACAAATCAAAAGGATGAAAATATCGCCTAAACCCACTAAGGATGAAGAAAAAAGATAATAACAGTCACGTCTGGGTAATGAAGACAACAAATTGTAGAAACCTGTAAAATATCAATCTCCAAGAACAAGTGTGATTAACAATGAAAGCACAAAAGACAATAAAGAAGAGGGTTTTCTCAGAAGGTATAAAATATCTCTGCTATCTTGCTCGAATTCTTTTCTCAAAACTGATCGAATGTAAATTATATTTTCGAATTCTATAATTATGTATTTTTGATTTTTCATCAACACTTAATTAAATAGAAAAATAGCATAAGAAAATAGTCTGTTGGTTATTAATAATATCATAGAGAAAATTAGGATATATTTAAAAATATTTATTCTTTAAAACGAATATATTTTTCAAATTTGAATTGCCATAATTGATTATGTTACCAATATAATCAATTATGATAGAGAAAATCATTTTTTCATTTCTGATGCATCATAATTGATTATGACAGTGAAAAATATCATGTTATGAATTTTATCATACTTGTGCTTTGGAGGCTTATACATAATATCCAGTATTCTAAGACTCTATCTAGTATTCAGGAATCATCTTGGGCTTGTTTGAACCATCATCTTTATCAAAAACATATATTGGGTATGTAGAGAAATGTTTCACATTATCACCGTCTTAAATTCAGTTTGTCCTTAATTCATCTAGAATGATATTGAATTGAATGTAGTTAATTTGAATTATCATCAAAATCATCTCTTCAAAATATAGGAACATTTTCATCAATCTTTCCTTCAATGCTTTCAAATTTCTTACAAAATTTTCAAAATCTAGATAATATGAGGGCATGGAATATTGTTAATAGACATGAAGATTCAATCCAAAAGAAAAAATGCTTTAAAATTATGAAATGGAGCAGCCTCTTGCTGTAAACATAATAGCGGCTAGCTAATTTGAAATTCATTAGCTGCCACCTTTCAAGATTTTTTGACCAGTTTAAAATTATTTCTACATTTTTGTTAGTCTTCCGATAAATTTCACACATATAAAAAAGATAACATAATTTAATACAATTAGAAATTAAAGTAAAATTGGACAAAATATAGGTAATTATACACCCAGAATCCATTCTAAGATAAAGGTAAAACAGAAAAATCCATTCTAAGTAAAACAAAAAAATAACAATCAACAGCCAGTGGGCTAAAGGAATGATCTTGGTATCGTTAATAAAGACAGTAACAGAAGGTAACTTTCGCTCAGGGAGAAAAGAATGGAAAGAAACCTACAGGAATAGGAGGATATTGAGGCAATCGCAGAGTACAAGAGGATAAAAATTCATTTTTTAAGTTGAACGCGATTGCTCAAGATGGAACACTTCTCTCTTACTTTTTCTTTACCTTCAATCTTCTCGCCCCTCAGCATCTGCTGATCAATTGTTTCAATCTTGAAAAATAAGTTTTCCATCATTTAGAATTAACCTATACAAAAGTCAATAATCTCTTTTAGAGATGTTAATATTGAACAGTTTCTATAAACTAAATAAGAAAAGTAAGTATATTGCCTCCTCCTGAACAGCTTTCCTCAAGTTAGCCTTCGCTTGCAAATTGACATTCTTCAGATTCGACCGCAAACTGTTAATAATTTTTAAAAATGATAAAAATACACTATGCAAACAAACTGAAACTCACAATCCACCACTACTTCAAATAAATGCATATTCAATTCAATCCTATTCAATAACAAGCAAAATGCTCTGAGGGAAAGAGGTTTGATACTTTTGGATTAGGGTTTTCCATGATTGACGAGAAGAATGACCCTCGGCTTGCAAGGGCAATTGAAGGGGAAGAATATCGAGAATAAAGAGGAAGGAAAAGAAAAGTGTTAAGTCTTCTGACCGAGCCTGTTTATTCTAGTCAGTGAATTTTTCTCATGTTGCATTCTCTACGTTTTCCTCTAGGTTTTTTTACATTTCTTCTTCACTTCCTCCCTCTTAAATAGGATCTCTAATAATTATCAAAACTTAATTTCTAAGCACGCATTCCTTGTTCACCTCCTCCAGATCTCTAATAATTATCAAAATTTAATTTCTAAACACTCTAACGAAGACAATTACTTAATTATTTTGCTCTTAATCACTATTTTATTAACTCTTTTTATTTTTAATTATCTTTTTATTTTTAATTATTTTATAGTGTTTATTAGTTACTCGTTCTTCTAAAATTTAATATACATAAAAATTAAAGATAATGGTTAAATTTATTTATCTTATATTTATTGAAAATAATATTTTTAATAAAAAAGTATTTATTTTGCACTTTGCTAAATCTTTTTATTTCATAATAATATAATAAATTCTATAATTGAATATACATAAAAAAAACCAACTTTATTTGTACCGTTATTTTATATAAGTTTAAATGTGGTTTTATTTCAGGCAAATATTCAAATTCTTAAACAAAATTATTAAGTTTAAAAATAAGTTTTGTTTGCCTATGAAATAAAATATTTAATTTAGATAAAGTTATTGGAAGTTAAGTTGAAATTTAATAAGCAGCAATTGAAAATTACAAAACTGATTTTCTACGTGACACTGTTTGTGTAGTTACAAAATTGGGTCTCTAAATGTGTGATTTATTAACAATTAAAAATGGACCATTAAAAGTGGATGTGGCTGCCGGAAGCGATTTCCACCAGCAAAAGATAACATATACGAATATTAGTATCCAATTTTTTTCTGCTTCAGACAAAACAACTTTGGCATTTATGCTAGTATTTTTCTGTTCTTTGTTCAAATGAAGTAAAATTTGAAGTTGAACACTGTTAATTTTGACTTCATGGTATTATTAGAGTGCAGCTTCAGATCTGAATTCAGAGCACTGTTCTCTGACTTGATAAAGATTAAGTCATCTGCAACAGCTTGTGGTCTTAGCTCTAGTCAAATCCGCTTGGAAAGAACATAAAGAACAGCAAGGGTGAACAACAAAAAGCATACCCCAAGTATCACCCTATTTAAATAGTTAATTGTTAGTAATAGCACTGAGGAACAACAAACTTGGTTATAATAAAATCAACTTTTTTTTCCATACCTGTCCATGACATGTTGACGTTGCATAAGGGAGAGGAGATTGTGTGTTTTCGACAACGAAGAGCTGTGCCCTTTATATTCACTTTCAGCCATTTTTAAGACTCTAGTTGATTCACCTACATATCAAAGCAATTTTGAAAAACAAATATCCAGAACAACAACATTATTTCACACTCCCATAATCATATTAATAGAAAAAATTTCAGCATCTCAGTGCATAAAGACCAGTATCGTTGAATTAAAGGTTTTAACAAAAATCCAGTACAAATAGTAAACAAAGAAACATCTTTAATTAAAATCAGATTCCAAGAAGAGAAAACTGTCATGCAGATTATAGTCTACTAAATCTAAGGAGCTATGGGTAATTCAAATTTCAAACCTGTAAACTATGCAATGATATTTGGTAGAATAGAAAACAGAAGGAATTGTCAATTAGTCGTCAAAACTGATTGAAAAATTTGGCTCCAAAGATAAAAAAATTTGAACCTCATAGGTTAGCCTAACACCCTCTTATTCTCTACCATGTAGATAATAATGAGCCATAGGAACTGTTTACATGTTAATATACAAATACGAAAAGTTACTTATGTCATTGTTATCGGAACCTTATAAAATATCCTAAAAGAATAATAAAAAACAATATAAGCCAAATCATACATAAAGCTCAAGCTTATTTTTGGATCTAGTGGGATGGTTAAAGGAAGATGAAGGACAGCAATAGTTTTCATAAAAAATTTGTGGATTTTTATAAGGATTAATAAATATCCCTCATATTCCATTCAAGCCTCCATTTTGAGCTGGTCAAGACTTGGGATACAACTTAAATTTTCGACCTCTCTTTTCTTTCCCCTGATTTTTTAAATCCAAGGAGGAAAATGAATGTTGTTTCTTATTATCCCTTCACTCTAATTCCTTACTTTTCCTTACTATACCTTTTTCTTTCCTCATTTCATTCCCAAGTGACCCCTTAGAAGTGTCTTACCTTGTAAAATTAAAAAGAAAACTATTATCCTCATCAAAATCACATGCCTAGAAAGACTGACCATTTAACTTCAACATATTTAAATCCAAACTATAATATCTTCATTTCACTTAGTAATTTATGGCATCACAACATCTTATTCGTTATGGCTTAAGGCTGATTGAGTACACTTTCTACATATAAATGCTCATATCCGTCAATTCCCTACACAAAAAACATTCAAGGAAACTTTGTAAACATTAACAAGTTCAACCTAATAGATGTCCAAAAAATTTAACGGGCTGCTAAGATTTTTCAACTTTATATTCTTCAATAAGGATCTTGAATTTGCTTTGAGGCAGTAGGGATTATATTCTCAGATTTTATGCTTGTTCATTTAACTTTGTAATCTTTTGGAGGGGCAAGGTAGGGGAATGGGGGGCAAAAAAGGAGAAACCAAGGAAAGGAAAAACTAATGCTGAAGGAAAGAACATTAGACACATAAAAATTGAGTAACAGGACACCAAGGCTTAGAAAGGTAAAAAAATAAAAATAAAATTGGTCTAACACTATACAGAGGTCAAGCTGAAAAAGAAGGAAAGGAGAGAAACTTGAAAAGTTTCTGATGAAACTCAGGAGCCCAACTCAGTGACTACTGTCAAGGAAAAAATGATGCAGCATTTAAGTCATGGCCCAAACATATCAAAGTAAACTCCAGAAAAAGAGGGAAGAGGACCACACCAAGATTAAGGGGAAAGACACTTATGCTAAATGGAAATTGAGTGAGGCCCATAAGAAGTTCAAGATGGGAGGGTGGTGTCAAAGAGGGTAGATATTTAATTTTGAGAAGAGGAGGGGAGTGGATGGAATCATCCTTGGGCTATGGCGAAAGTTAGCATCCATCCTTCTTTCTTGACATCTTCCTATTCTTTTATTTTCTTCTTTTATATTCTGCATGATTTCATTTTCTACTGATATACCTTGATTTCACAATTTAAGGTCAATATACTCTCCTTTCATATCACCACTTTTTGGTCCATATCAGTTTCACCAAAGTGCACTGTTCACATTATGTTAATTCAAGTAAGCTAAGCATAGTCCTAGTTTCTATCAAATCTTTCCGTTTGTTAACATATATTTTATTTACACTGCACTACTTTCAATTATTGGAAAAAAGAGAATGTGAAAAATTCATATGGATAATGAATATCATCAATTTCTACAAAGCTTTCAAAATCTGGATAATCTGAGGGAATGGAATATGGTTAATGGACATGAAGATTCAATCCAAAAGAAAAAATGCTTTAAAATTATGAAATGGAGCAGCCTGTTGATGTAAACATAATAGCTGCCAGCTAATTTGAAATTCATTACCTGCCACCTTTCTTCGAATCTAACTTATTTTTGACCAGCTTAAAATTATTTATACATTTTTGTTAGTCTTCCGATAAATTTCACATACACCAAAAAGATAACATGATTTAATACAATTAGAAATTAAAGTAAAATTGGACAAATAAAATAGCTATTATCAATATAGACGGCGAGAGAAGAGGAAAAAGTACCTACCGAGAGTCATACGTGTGCTTTTGCTTCTTTCAACCTCCTAATCAAGGAGGAAGAGATATAATGAATAAGATAATCAACAAACTACAAAGGGTAAGATTTGGTGAAGGACTAGATAGCACAACAAAACAAAAAAGTTTCGTGGAAAAAAAACCCCACAACTAACCTGAACCATCAATTGCAGAGTACGACAAAAGCTTTCCGTTATGCTCTCTGCAGTAGATGTCATCTCTGCAATAGATGTCATTCCAGCTTTTGTCCTGGAAGATCACACAATTTAGAGGACCAAAATACTTCATCCTGGCATCATTTTCCATTCAAATAGCACTAAACAATAAATAAAGAAATATGAAAGCATAATTTAAGCTCAGCCAATTGAGACACCAAGGACATACTGTAAATTGCGTATGCGAGCTCTGGACTCTTCTCCACCACCGAAAAATAGTTCTTTCTGCACAATAAAGAAATACAATAAGTCATGCAGCACAATGTAAGGAAACACAATTCACACAACTCCATGATCACAATACAACAGGGTTGTGATCAATATAGGATCTATTTGGATAAATATCTCCAGAAACATTTTTAAGAGAAAAAAATACAAAGGAAAATAATAAAATAAGTTTTACATCAGTTAGAATTAACTTATACAAAAGTCAATAATCTCTCCTAGAGAGGTTAATATTGAAGAGTTTCCATAAACTAGTTTATTCATAAGCTAAAGCTAATTTAGCTCTAAAAGAATCTCATTTATTTATTTATTTATTTTTTTCAAGGAATGCTTATAAGGAAGTTTATCTAAATTCACTAGGTTGGTCGTGCATTATATCAGACTATGTTCAAAATAACATCAGAAATACTAAATAGGAAAAGTAAGTATATTGCCTCCTCCTGGTCAGCTTTGATCAAGTTAGCCTTCGCTTGCCAATTGGCATTCCTCAGATTCTTCCGCAAACTGTTCAAAATTTTTAAAATTAATAAAAATACATTAACAGTGGATGTTGCAAACAAACTAAAATTCACAATCCACCATACTTCAAATAAATGCGTATTCAATTCAATCCAATTCAATAACAAACAAAAATGATTTGATAGAGAGATTTGGTACTTTTGGATTAGGGTTTTCCAGGATTGAAGCAATTGGCGAGCAGAATCGACCTCCGGATGCGAGGGCAACTGAGGGGCGAGAAGATCGAGGGTGAAGAGGAAGAAATTGAGAAGTCTTAATCCTTCCCGAGCGATCGCGTTCAAACTAGCCAGTGAAATTTTCTCCTCTTTCGCTCTTCCTAATTTTCCGTAATTTGCGATTACCTCAATGTGCTCCTGCGTTTGTGTGTAAGTTTCTTCCCATTCCTTCTTCACCTTTTCCACCTCCTCCACCGCCTTATCCACCACTGCAGTCATCTTCTGTTACTGTCTTCGATATTTTTTTTCTTCCCTTGCATCTCTATTTAACTCTTTTTATTTTTAATTATCTTGTAGCGTTTGTTAGTTACTCGTTCTTCCAAAATTTAATATACATAAAAATTAAAGATAATGGTTAAATATATTTATCTTATATTTATTGAAAATAATATTTTTAATAAAAAATTATTTATTTTGCATTTTGCTAAATCTTTTTATTTAATAATAATGTAATAAATTCTATGATTGAATATAAAAAAAACAACAACTTATTTGTACCGTTATTTTATATAAGTTTAAATGTGGTTTTATTTCAGGCAAATATCCAAATTCTTTAACAAAATGATTAAGTTTAAAAATTAGTTTGGTTTGTCTATGAAATAAAATATTTAACTTAGATAAAATTATTGGAAGTTAAATTGAAATTTAATCAGCAGCAATTTGAAATTACAAACGGATTTTCTACTGATACTATTTATATAATTACAAAGTTGGGTCTCTAAATAATGTTTGATTAATTTTTGGATTAGATATGTTTTTAGTCTTTATATTATAATGTGAAATTGAAAATAGTTCATTTGTCATAATTCATATGAAAATAATCCCAATACTTTTGAAATAAGTGAAATAAATTTCTATATTAAACAGCGTTAAAATGTGGGATAAGATTGAAACATGACTGTGGATGCTGTGAGTGAATATTACAAAACAAAGAAACATGTTAAATGCAGGAACATGTATTTGAATGGTACAGGTGCAGGAACATGTATGATACACTCCATTTTTAAAGAATGCAAAATTTAATTCATTTTAATGATGAATTGTATTTAAATTCAAAAGGAATGATCTGGACATAGATTCATTCTTAAATGACTTTTAAATGCTTTAAATTTGGATTTAAATGACTTATAAATGATAGAGAAGTTTAAATTTCTTTTTAAATGGGTATAAATGACTTTTAAATGTTATAAATACGGATTTAAATGACTTTTAAATGTTATAAATACGATTTAAATGACTTTTAAAAGTTTAACACCTTCTAATTTTATTTAATTTTATTTTTTTAAATAATTACATGTGTCAAATAATGAATGAGTTATACCATTTCTGTGAGAGAGGTTTGCATATACTTAATCCCGTTTAAAATAGGGACCTATTTCAATCATTTTAAAAGTATAAGGATCATTTTTATGTGAACTATGACAAAGAGACTATTTTCAATTTCACATGAAAGTATAGGGATTAAAAACATAATTAACCCTAATTTTTTTATCTAATCTATCTTATTTTTTAAACATTTCAAACTTATTTATTTTTATATCTTAGTTTCAATACATATTTCATTTTACTATTTACTTTGTAAAAGAATTTATTGTTAATATCAAATTCAATTTTTTTAATTTTATATAATTAATTTGTCAAACAGAAGAATATAATGGGTTCATTTAGCTCCTATTTGTTTTCATTGATGTATTGTCAACGAAGATAGAAACATGAGGATCGCACACGTTTGGTTCAACGAAATGCGACGAAATGAAAGAGAGGAAAAACAGAAGAATGAAGAAAGGAGATGAAAGCCACCTAGACAAATTGAAATGTCAAACTTACCCTCACTCTGCAAGATTCGTTGGTGCATGCATACAGAGAGATTCCTAAGAATCTCTGCAAAAAGTTGAGAATATCTGCAAAAATTGTTTCACGTGTTTCAACAGGGATTCAACCCTATTTTTATGACCCGTGATCACAAGTAGAAGGTCTCACGCCATCCTCCATTGCAGTTCTCACGGCAGCCTCAATTGAAACTCTAGAGAAGGTCAATATGTGCTACGCAATCTTAGGTAAGGTTAGTCCTTGTTTTTATCATGCAAATGTTTCACCTCATGTCATACATCAAGCTTAACTGAACCCTCCATGTCACACATTGCAGTTGTAGTGACGATCTCTGTTTTCAACCTCCATTGAAGGTCCAACGAATAATATAGGTAATCTTCTCCTTTATGGTGCCAACCATAATCGATTATGGTGCGTCTTCTTCCTCCGGCGGCTTATGTCTCATCGTTCTGGCGCCAGACTCTCCTCTGGCGGGGCGCCTCTCTGGCTGCCATGGTGGGCCTTGTGGCTGCAGCTGGTCCAGTCATGTGCATGCATGAGAGGAGGCCAAACCTCCTCAACTCCAACAGAAAATGGGCAATATACAACCATAGTTTTTTACTTTTACGTTGGTTATGTTGTTGTTGCAGGCTGTATCTTAGGGGTGTCGTCAAGTTCGCCGTCAACTTGTCCCACGAAGAGCTTCGTTCATATCTTTTCCCATAGGTATGGTTCATATGTTGTCTTTCATGGTTGCAACCTGAAACTAATTCTAATGGGGTTGTACTCCATGCATGGTTGAACTAAAAATTGATAGCTACTGCGTGCATGCATCTTGGAAGCAAAAACTGGGAATGATAAAAGCAAAAATTGGACAAAAAGATGGAACCAAAAACTCTGTTTTTCAATTATAATTATTGTATGGAAATTTTGAATTTTTTTATAGATACTTGAAAAGAAAAAACAATAATTGAGAGATCATACATCAAACAAATGTAATAAAAATTATGACGTACACTATTAATGCATAATTAAATAAGGAAAAAAAAGTTAAATATAGTTTTATTTAAAAAATAAATTTATTATTTTTTATAACAGATGGAATATGTAAAATTGAGAAAAGAAAAAATTTATAGAAATGAGAATTTGTTAAAAAAGAAGTAAAAATATTATGGAAAAAAATTATTAGTAGTTTTGTAAATAATTTTTTTATGAAGCATTAAATTTATATGATTTTAGTCTTATATACATTAACTGAATATATTTTATTTTCTAAATATTAAAATTATATACTTTGAATTACTTCCATTAAACATTAATTATATATATATATATATATATATATATATAAATTGTATAATGTGAAATATAATTAAGATATGATAAATAAATCAAAAAATTATTATTATAATTGTAATAATTGTTGAGTAAATCTGTAAGATAATTAAATTTAAGTTTAATGTTAGAAAATAATTTTATACAACATAAATCAATTAAATATTTAAAAATGTCAATTTTAAATAATAAAAAGAAAAAACCTAATTGTAAGATAAAAAAATCATATTTTTACATATGAATTAATGTGTATTAATTATGGAAAATAAATGTTTTAAAGACTTTCAACTATATATTGATAATATTTAAATTGTATAGTATAAGTTTATAAGAGATAAACTTAAATATAAAAATAAATTGTAATAGTAGTATCAATTGGTTGTTTTACAACCTAACGATAGTTGCCAAATGATAAGAGTGTGAGAGTGTGAACTCTGATAATTTATTTGTGGTGTGCAAATTTATTTATTGTATATATATGTTGCATTGTGCGGTTTGGCTGAGTCCAAGGGTGGTCAACCTTCGGCATATTTAAATTATGCGTGATTTGGTTATGTATATTGGAAATATCATTATCAATGAAAAATGTTTTTTTTTTTATTAGTTAATGAGAGTTATAGTTAGGGTTTAGGGTTTACTTCTTAGTTAAATATAATTAAATTATTAAATTTGGTATTTGAAAATAAATTTTCAGATGGCAGACAAAAACATCGAGATCATTGGTTTAGACAATGACGATATAGATAATGGTTTAGATATAAACATAATTTCACATATACAAAGTGAGATAAAAAAGCGAAGCGAATTAGGAGTGATAACAATTCTTTGTCTCATGGCCTATGGGTTAAATATGTTGTCTACGGTAACTTGTAGTAGCAGTAACATTAGGGACTTTATTTCTGAAAAAGAACGTCGTCGACATGAGTTGATGTCATACTGAATAATTTCGTGAAATTATTAGCATGGGACCATAGGTGTTCATTAACTTGTGTCAACGAGTAAGGGCAACTAAATTGGTAAACGATGGGTTACAATCAACAGTCGAAGAACAAGTGGCTAAATTTCTCCATATTATCGGACATAACGTTAAAAATCGAACTGTTTCATTTTTCTTCCATCAATCGGGTGAAACCATTAGTCGACACTTTCATAACGTGTTGAATGCGATAATAATGTTGGAGGAACAATTAATTATTCAACCATCAGGAAGGGATGTGTGTCCGTATATATTAAACAACAGCCGATTTTACCCATACTTTAAGGTAATCTACTCACCAACTTTGTGTCTATATAACATATGCATAGATTGTCTAAACTTTAATGACAATAATTTTTTTTGACCAATTAGGATTGTTTAGGGGCGATAAATGGAACTCATGTTCGAGTTAAAGTCGCAAGATGTGATGCCCCTTGTTTTCGTGGAAGAAAAGATTGGCCAACACAAAACGTATTTGCAACTTGTGATTTCGACATGAAATTCACATATGTTCTAGTAGGGTGGGAATGAACAACATCTGATTCAAGAATATTAAATGATGTTCTTACGAGAGAGGATCGCCTTATCATACCACAAGGTTTATTATTTATAACGTGAGGATTTTGTGTATAGTCATCTAATTTAAATATCTAATTTGTATAATTTCAATGATTTTAAATAGGTAAATACTACTTGGGGGATGGTGGATTTATGTTAAAAGCAAACATAGTGATTCCCTATCGAGGCGTTAGATACCACCTTAAAGAGTATTCTCGACGAGCTCCACAAAACCCCGGAGAATTGTTTAACCATCGACATTCGTCTCTTAGAAATGTAATTGAAAGAATATTTGGAGTTTTGAAGAAAAGATTTCCTATAACAGCCAGTGGAACAGAGTCTCATTATTCATTTGATATAATGACGAATATAGTCCTAGCATGTTGCATTCTACACAATTTTCTTTGAGGGGTAGACAACGATGAATCACTGTTAGCTGAAGTGGATCGAGGGTTGATGAAACAAGATGTGGATAACATGTCGACTCAAGTTCGGGAAGAGGATTATAGGGAAGGGTCAAACTTAAGAGATGCTATAGTAAATCAAATGTGAATAGATTATCAAAGTGATTAGAATTTGTATGTAACAATATATTTAATGAGATGTACTATTGTTATTGTTGAAATATGGTTAAATTACGATTATCCATTTGTAATAATTATATGTTGGTATTGTAATTACATATATTATCTTTCCAATAGGTTTAAAATGAATAGAGGAAATGATATTGCACCGGATTTTTCAACTGTAGTATGCGAGTTTACAAAATGGACAGATGACATTGACTTTCGGTTGTTGACTGCTATGCTTAATGAGACAAGGTTTGGTAACCGGGTTGGTGGTAGTTGGACAACCCAAGCATATAATAATATGGTTGAATCCCTAAGATAGTCTGTATTAATTAGTATAACTAAAAATAATGTTAAAAACTGACAAAAAAGTCTTAAAGATAGATGGCGGGAGGTTCACGATTTGTTTCATGAACTTAATGGATTCGCTTGGGATGATATCACAAAATGGTTTATAGCTGAGCAAGAAGTATGAGATGACCTGATCAAGGTACTATATATGAATTATCATTTGTTAATATAGCAATTATGACTGTTAACTATTCTCATTAATTTGTAGGCGAAGCTTCTAAATGGAGACTGTCAACCATAAATTATTATGATTTGATGGAAGAATTGTGGGGTGTTGATCAAGTTACTGGGCATATGGCAAGAACTTCGCATCAGTCCTAGAGGAATATCAGTTCTCGAAGGGCAACGGTCAACTTGAACGTTGATGTGGATCTCACACCAGAGGAGCAACCATTTGACTTTGGCTTTGATGCAGGATTTGATACAACTTATCGATCACCTCCACGCATGGGTTCTGACAGTCCTGATGAGGGTATTCAGTCAATGCCATCAGTTGCGTCTACTGGTTCGGGTGAAACCTCTTCATCTCGGGGCACAAAAAGAAAAGTGTCTATGGTTGATGTGATGGAAGGTCAATTTGACAAACTAAAGAGGCTGGACACATTTACAAATTACCTTGGCCAAGGTAATACATTGACCCAACGATTATCTGACATAGCTGAAAGACAAATGGTCGCCATTGAACGCAGAAATAATTTAATTAATGAGCAAGTTAATGTGATGAGACGATCATCAACATTTCAATATTTCGAGTCAGATATATGGGACATGTTAGTCGGCATGAATCTAAACGACGAACAACTTATGCTTTAGTGTTATAATCATTTGTGTACTCACAAATCACATGTTAGATGACTTTTTGACTTGCCTCCACATTTTTGTCTCTCCCAGTTGTTCATGTTCTTGGGTGAAAGTAATTGAATGATCTACTATAAAGACCTGAAAATGCTTTAAGATTCATTCAGAAGCTCTTCGATCATAATGAATTTAGTAGACCTACTCCACAACCATTTCGATGAGATACTACTATTGAAATACATTTTGACAAGAGAACTTCGATCTCAAGAATTTGATTACAGAGGACCAAAAATATTATAATCATTTATTTGGGGAACATTAGTATACATAAATTTATAATTTTAGTAATATTTATTAAATATATAATGTCTATATTAATTAATATTATTTGACAATCAAAATTTATGATATGTAATTCTAATATATATATATATATATATATTTTTTTTTTTTTAAATTTTGTGTTAAAAATATAAAAATATGACAAAAATATATATTAATATAATTTTTAACTAAATAGTAAATATTTTTATTATTAAGTTTACATGAATTTTTTATTTAATTATTATTCTATTTTCATTATATTTTATATTTATTTAAATATAATAATTTATAATTATATTATTAATTGTTATAATTATTTATTATTATTAATCAATATTAATTATTATTTTTAATTTATAATCATTAAATTAATTATTTAATTATTAATCAAATAATTTATTTAATATGTTAAAATTATTTTTTATGTATATATAATTTAAATAATTTTGTAATTATTTATTTATGAAATTTTTAATAACTATTTTAAAAAATTTAAATTTTATAAATTTTGTTCCACGTACAAACAGTATAATATAACATAAGTAATTATTAAAATTTTTTATTTATAATAATTTTAACCTTATTTTATATCTAAAAATAAAATAATAATCTTCTTAAATAATTAATTAAAATTATAATTTTTATATCTCTTATTAATAATAATTAATTTTTTTGTTTGCACTCTTTTATTTCACTCTATCAAATCACTCTAACCCATTAATGCCTTAATGCCACAAATTATTTACGATATATCATATTTGGTCTGTTTTAACTTAGGTTTTCATAATTGGATTGATACTAAAAATAAATATAAGACAAAAAAAACTGTTTTAACTAACAAAATTTTGGATTCAAGAATCAAAATTTTGAATGGGAGTATTGTGAGGGAGGAGTCAGAAAAGCAGAGTTGCAAGCCACATTGCAGCGACGCATGGTTCGAATTGGAGATGGAGCTTCCCTCGGGAACTGAACCATTTCAGCTGGAGCAAGCTTTCTGCAGTCATGGCTTCTTCATGATGCCACCCAACCACTGGAATCCTCTCTCCAAAACCCTAACTCGTCCACTCCATATTCACAACCTTTCTTCTTCTTCTTCCCTCCTCGTTTCCCTTTCCCAGCGCCCCCGATCTCTCGCTGTTAGGGTTCATGGCGTTCATTTCCTCTCTCCTCAACAATAGCGTCACATCACGGTACTCCACTCCCTAACTGGTCGCTTCTTCCATTTCGGGCTACTCATTCTTATTTCGCTTCTTCCGTTGCCGTTTTAGGCTCAGGTTTGCAGAATGCTGCGGTTGTCCGAAGCGGAGGAAAAGACTATGAGAGAGCAGAAGCGTGCACTCTGATCATCCAAATAGAAGCTTCGGTGGACGCGTGTTTAGGTCTCCCACGTTGTTCGAGGACATGGTTAACTGCATTCTCGTCTACAAACGCCAGTGATTCATGTTTCTCACATTTGGGTAATGTATATATAATAGATAATTTTTAAATGTTACTGTCGTATTATTTCTTAAGTTAAATAATAAAATAATATAATTAAATTAAAAAATTTGGTTAAAATTATATCTTAGGAAAATAAAATTAAAATTATGTAAAAATTATAAAGTAATTTTTAATTTTATAAAGAGAAGTTAGAAATATTAAAATTTAAATAATTAATCTAATTTTAGTTATTTAAAAGGTCATGATATTTTGGGAACATATAAAACGGAAGACTTAGTTCTGTTCTTTTTTTATCTCCATCAAGAGAGAAAATTCAGAGAAAAATAAGTGTTTTTTAGGTGGAAGACCATAAGATTAATAGTACTTTACAAGTATATCATTATTAAGATCTGATTCATGTACGCTTTCGCATTCACTTTACAATATATTAATGAATATGAGAAAATGTTTATGTTTGATAGTTAAAATAAAAAAGAGGATTATAATTATTATTAGTTTTCTAATAAGTGGTATCGAAGCTACCTATATTTGATTCGTGTCTCGTTTAATTTATAAAATCCTAATTATAAAAATTATTATGAAAATTAGGATTAATTTTGTTTTAAACCATTCAAATTACTCAATTTTGTGAACTCTAAGTATAGAATAATCTCCAATTTTTGTGAACCCTAAAATTTAAATTTGGGGGTAACATCCCCAATATGCTTCGCTCGCTGATGGAACCGTGGAGGAAACTATGAATTCTTCTTCTTCGTTTTTTCCTTTTGTTGCGGAATGCTCGCGGTTGTCCGAAGCGGAGGAAAAGACTATGAGGGAGTTCGAAGCGTGCACTCGATCATCCAAATAGAAGCTTCGGTGGACGCGTGTTTAGGTCTCCCACGTTGTTCGAGGACATGGTTAAGTGCATTCTCCTCTACAACCGCCGAGTGATTCATGTTTCTCACATTTGGGTAATGTATATATAATAGATAATTTTTAAATGTTACTTGTCGTATTATTTATTAAGTTAAATAATAAAATAATATAATTAAATTAAAAAATTTGGTTAAAATTATATCTTAGGAAAATAAAATTATGTAAAGATTATAAAATAATTTTTAATTTAATAAAGAGAAGTTAGAAATATTAAAATTTAAGTAATTAATCTAATTTTAGTTATTTAAAAGGTCATGATATTTTGGGAAGAAGTCTTAGTTCAGTTCTTTTTTTATCTCCATCAAGAGAGAAAATTCGAGAGAAAAATACAAGTGTTTTTAGGTGGAAGACCATAAGATTAATAGTACTTTACAAGTATATCATTATTATGACTCGATTCATGTACGCTTTCGCATTCACTTTACAGTATATTAATGAATATGAGATAATGTTTATGTTTGATAGTTAAAATAAAAAAGAGGATTATAATTATTATTAGTTTTCCAATAAGTGGTATCGAGCTACCTATATTTGATTCGTGTCTCGTTTAATTTATAAAATCTTAATTATGAAAATTATTATGAAAATTAGGATTAATTTTGTTTTAAACCATTCAAATTACTCAATTTTGTGAACTCTAAGTAGAGAATAATCTCCAATTTTTGTGAACCCTAAAATTTAAATTTGGGGGTAACATCCCCAATATGCTTCGCTCGTCGATGGAACCGTGGAGGAAACTATGAATTCTTCTTCTTCGTTTTTTCCTTTTGTTGCGGAATCGTCGCGGTTGTCCGAAGCGGAGGAAAAGACTATGAGGGAGTTCGAAGCGTGCACTCGATCATCCAAATAGAAGCTTCGGTGGACGCGTGTTTAGGTCTCCCACGTTGTTCGAGGACATGGTTAAGTGCATTCTCCTCTACAACCGCCAGTGATTCATGTTTCTCACATTTGGGTAATGTATATATAATAGATAATTTTTAAATGTTACTGTCGTATTATTTATTAAGTTAAATAATAAAATAATATAATTAAATTAAAAAATTTGGTTAAAATTATATCTTAGGAAAATAAAATTATGTAAAGATTATAAAATAATTTTTAATTTAATAAAGAGAAGTTAGAAATATTAAAATTTAAGTAATTAATCTAATTTTAGTTATTTAAAAGGTCATGATATTTTGGGAAGAAGTCTTAGTTCCGTTCTTTTTTTTATCTCCATCAAGAGAGAAAATTCAGAGAAAAATACAAGTGTTTTTTAGGTGGAAGACCATAAGATTAATAGTACTTTACAAGTATATCATTATTATGACTGATTCATGTACGCTTTCGCATTCACTTTACGAGTATATTAATGAATATGAGATAATGTTTATGTTTGATAGTTAAAATAAAAAAGAGGATTATAATTATTATTAGTTTTCCAATAAGTGGTATCGAGCTACCTATATTTGATTCGTGTCTCGTTTAATTTATAAAATCTTAATTATGAAAATTATTATGAAAATTAGGATTAATTTTGTTTTAAACCATTCAAATTACTCAATTTTGTGAACTCTAAGTAGAGAATAATCTCCAATTTTTGTGAACCCTAAAATTTAAATTTGGGGGTAACATCCCCAATATGCTTCGCTCATCGATGGAACCGTGGAGGAAACTATGAATTCTTCTTCTTCGTTTTTTCCTTTTGTTTCGGTTTAAGTTTCAAGTTTTACTAAAAAAGAAATAGTGTTTCAAATTTCAATCTTTCTTGTATTGAGTTCTTTGTTCTTTTTGAATATTTTGTTTCTGTTTTTATTTATTTTTTTTGGGTTTTGTTTTTGTTTTCTTTTCATGGTAGATATGGATGAGTTTGAAATTAGGGGTGATATTTGGGGAGTTCCCAACATAGAGGATCTTAGGCAACTGGTGAATGTTTCCACAGGTGTGCTTGTTCTTATTTTATTGCCTTTATCCTTTGGGGATTTTAAGGGAAGTTGATGTTAAATTCTCTGTTTAGGATTTGGGTGATTACTGTTTAATCCCCTTTTAGGATTTAGAGCATTGTGTTAAAGATGGTCAAAATGAATTATCTTTGTTTCATCCCTAGTGTGATTCTAGGGAGATGTTTATCATTTGTGTGTTGGTTGCAAAAGAGGTGTTTTTCATTCTTTGATTTGTTCAAAGGAGGTGTTCATCCCTAGTGAGATTCTAGGGAGATGTTCATCCTTTATGTGTTGGTGGAAAATGAGGTATTTTTCATCATTAGTAAGATTCTAGAGAGGTGTTTATCCTTAGTAGGATTATAATGATGTAATTGTCTTTTGAATTAGTTTGTAAATATTAAATATTTGTTTTTGTTATATAAATAAAATATTCAATTTTTTGGTAGTTTAATATTTTTGTGAACAAATTGAGTCAATAAGTCACCAAAGTAACCTTTCTTGAATTGGGCAGTTCATGAAAAATATTGAATGTTAGTATTTTTGTATATTCATGCGAGTATTAGTCGGCCCAAAGGAAGATTAATATTTGGCCGAATTACATACACACTTGTAATGATAAACATGTGATAATTATAGGGATTTTCTTTGTCGATGATAAATCAATCTAAAGACTGGTTTGTTGTTGAACGTGATTTATTGTCAATGTTTGACCATTACAACAAGATACCCCTAACAGTTAATGTTACTGTCTAAATACTTGATATTGATGGTGCATTAGGTATCTTGAGATGAGTTAAACCATTATTTGAATATTTATAATTATTTTTTTTATAATGTGAGAATGATTAGTTTATTTCTTTTGTTCTTAATTTAGCTACAATTGCTTATGTATATGCCAATTTAAATTCTGTTCCGATCCTCAAAAGTATGTTTCCTACTTTGGTCTGTTCTGAAGTCAATTTAGTGTCAGTACTTAGTAACACTTGGTGGTTAGACTCAGATGCAACTACTAACATCAGTGTTTCTAAAGAGTTGTCTAAGCTACCGGAAGTCAATTGATTTTGAAAGATGAATATATGTTGGAGATGACAAATCGGTAGAGGTGGAAGCTATAGGGCATTTTAAATTGTTATTAACTACTTGTTTTTATTTGGATTTGAAAGACACTTTTATTGTGCTGTCATTTAAACGGAATTTGGTTTCAGTTTCTTATTTGGACAAATTAGGTTATTTGTGTTTTTTTGGAAACAATAAGTTCAGTTTGTCTTTTAATTCAAATATTGTTGGAAATAGTTCACTTTTGGCTTATGATAATCTGTATTTACTTGATATTGTGACTACCTATAATGAAACCTTTAATACAGAATTACATGGTACTAAACGTAAAATTGACAATACTCACTTAGGTGCATTATGGCACAGACGCTCAGGTTACAATTTAATCGTAGCGCTTGGGTTTGTGTTACACTATTAAAGATATGGTAAGAAGTATGTTTTGCCATTCCACCTTATCGGAATCACTATGGGAAGAGGCATTAAAGACGATAACTTATATTCTAAATAGAGTATCAACTAAAGCAGATACCAAAACACATAATGAGCTTTGGACTGGGCGACAACCTAGTCTAAAGCATTTCCATGTGTGGGGTTGTCCAGCTGAGGCAATACCTTATAAGTCAAATGAAAAGAAATTGGACTCCCGAACAATAAGTAATTATTTTATTGGTTATGCTAAAAGATCTAGAGGATATAAATTTTATGATCCCATATTAAAGACAATTTTTTAGACGGGAGCTGTTATGTTCTTTGAGGATATTGAGTTTGGGGGAAGAATAAAATTAGGAACTTTGTCTTGGAGAAAGAATCAATAACAATTCCAAAACCGATTCAAACAATTACTTTTGATAAAGTATGTTCATGAAGAACAAACTCAAGATCCTCAAGAACTTGTGCATCATGAGCCAATAACTTTGTGGAGATCCACTAGAGAAAGAAGAAATGTTATTTCGGATGATTACATGTATTTCTTCAGGAACATGAGGAAAACAATTATATGATGGAAGATG